TGTTGGCCAGGCTGGTCTCAAACACCAGACCTCAAGTTACCCACCTGCCTTGGCCTCTCAAAGTGCTGGATTACAGGTATGACTCACCATGCCTGGCCTACTCTAGCATCTTTTGTTGAAAAACATACCCTTCCTGAACTGAATTGCTTTTGCATCTTTATTAAAATTATCAGTTGAGCTTATATATGTGGGTCTACTTCTGAGTTCTCTATTTTGTCCCATTGATCTATGTGTTTGTCTTTCTGCCAATACCACACAGTCTTGATGGCTATAGCCAAGTCTTGGATGTAGTAGACTGATTCTTCCCACTTGATTCTTTTTCAAAATTGAGTTAGTTATTTTAAGTTCTTTGCCTTTTCATATAAGTTTTGGAATAAGTTTGTCTACATCTACAAGTATTCTTGCTGAAACTTTGATTGGAATTGCATTAAACCTATATGCCAGCTTTTTGAGAACTGATATTTTTTACATTGTGGAATCTTCCAATTCATGAACATATGTTTCTCCATTTACTTAGGTCTTCTTTTATTTCTTTCATCAACATTGTAAATTGCATTGTGTTTTCATTTGGTTTACACATGTTCATTGTTAGCATGTAGAAATGCTATTGATTTTTTTTTTTTTTTTTTTGAAATTTCTTAGTACTTTCTCTGTGGATATCATGTCATCTCAAATTAGGGACAATTGTATTTATTCTTTTTCAGCCTATATGCTTTTCATTTATTTTTCTTGCCTTATTGCACTGGCTAGAACTTCTAATACTATGTCAAATAAGAGTAGTATGAGAGGACATCCTTGCTGTGTTCCCATCTTAAGGAAAAGCATTCAGTCTTTCATATTAAGTATGATGTTAGCTGTAGGGTTTTTGTATATGCTCTTTATCAAGCTGAGAAACTTTCTCTCTATTCCTGAGAGTTTTTATCATAAACAAGTGCTGGAGTTTGCCAAATGCTTTCTCATGTCAACTGATACAATCACATAATTTTCTATTTTTTAGGCAGTTAATATAGTGAATTATATTTATTGATTTGAAAATATTGAATCAGCCTTGGACACCTAGAATAAATACCCTTGGTTTTGGTATATAAGTCTTTTTTTTTTTTTTTGAGACGGAGTTTCGCTCTTGTTACCCAGGCTGGAGTGCAATGGCGCGATCTCGGCTCACCGCAACCTCCACCTCCTGGGTTCAGACAATTCTCCTGCCTCAGCCTCCTGAGTAGCTGGGATTACAAGCACGTGCCACCATGCCCAGCTAATTTTTTGTATTTTTAATAGAGACAGGGTTTCACCATGTTGACCAGGATGGTCTTGATCTCTTGACCTCGTGATCCACCCGTCTTGGCCTCCCAAAGTGCTGGGATTACAGGCTTGAGCCACTGAGCCCGGCCTTATAAGTCTTTTTATATATTGCTAGATTTGATTTGAAATTTTTTGTGTTTAAGCTCATGATGGATAATGGTCTATAGTTTCCTTGTACTATCTTTGGCTGGTTTTGGTATCAGAGTAAACCTGCCTTCATAAATTGAGTTGTAAAGTGTTCCCTCCTCTTTTATCTTCTGGAAGATATTGTACAATTAGTGTTAATTCTTCTTTAAATATTTGGTAGAATTCTCTATTGAAACCATCCTGGCCTGGAGATATCTTTTTCAGGAAATTTAAAATTATGAATTCAAATAAAAAATTATTAATTCAAGAAGTAGATGCAAAAAAAAGAAAAAAATTATGAATAAATTCTGAAATTTAATTAAAATTATTCTTTCTTTATGGTTGTAAGATTATTTGGATTGTCCGATTCATCTTGGTTGAGTTTTAGTAGTTTGTCATTTTCATAGCATTGGTCAATTTCTTTCCAGTTTTTAAATGTATTAGTCTAAAGTTTGTAGTAGTCCCTTAACCTTTTAACGGCTGCAGGATTTGTAGTTATATCCCATTTCATTCCTTATATCTGTGGTTTGTTTCTTCTCTCTTTTATCTTTATTAGTCTTGCTCAAGTTTTATCAATTTTATTGATGTGGGGTCCAAAGTGGCTCCCGCCGGAGGTCATGGCACTCGCGAAGACGAGGTCATCGCACTCGCGAAGACAAGGTCATCAGTTCAAGGCTAACCTGAGCAACCTCATAAGCTCAAACTGATTGGCAAAAAAAAAAAAAAAAAAAAAAAAAATTATTGATGTTTTTCAAAGAACCAGTTTTTTGTTCATGAATTTTTCAATTTTTTTTGTTTCGTTTTCAGGTTCATTGAGTTCTGCACTTATTTTTTATTATTTCCTTCCCTGTGCTTGATAAGGTTTTTTGTTTTCCTAGTACTTATGTAAATACACATATGTAATTTATCACAACCTCTGAGTATGAATGCCTTACCATTTTGAGTGATACGTAGAAATCTTACCTCCATTTTGATCCCTTGAGCCTCCTTACTTTTTAAATATAATTGTCTTAAGTATTTCTCCTAAGTATATTGAGTATTACATCATATGATGGTGTTATTTTTGGTTGAACCATCAGGTATGATTTAAGAGACTCCTGAGGAGTATAGTGTATTATTTTTATCCATTTCATTGTCCTTCTTTCCTTTCTGAAGTTCTATACTTTCTTCTGTTTATCATCTCCCTTTCCTTTCTGTTTGGAGAATGTTCTTCAGCTGTTCTTTAAGGGTAGTATGTGAATGACAAAATCTCTTAGTTTTCCTTCATCAGAGAATGCCATTATTTCCACTTTTCTCCTGAAGGATACTTTCACTAAATAGATGACTTGTGATCGACAGTTATTTCCTTTCAGCACTTGAAAAATGTGCCACTTCCTTCTGGCTTCCATGGTTTCTGATAAAAAACCTGCTGTCCTTTGAGCTGGTATTCCCTATAGATAATACATCATTTCTCTCTGGCTGTTTTCAAGATGTTTTTCTTTCTTTTTTTAGTTTCGGAAGTTTAACTATGATGTGTATCTTGGCATGGATTTCCTTGGGTTCATGAAGTTGAGATTCATTCACCTTCTTGAATCTGTAGGTTTATGTCTTTTGAGAAATTGGAGAAATTTTCAGCTGTTAATTTCTTCAAGCCAAGGTGACTTTTAAGCACATTGTAAATTTGAGAAACATTGCTCTGGAGTGGGGTTGAGAGATCTGAGTACTTCTCAAATTGCATACAGAATGCTCTAAGTGTCCACAGCTTTCACTAGTTCTCAAAAGACCCTATGACCCTCACCATAAATTTTATAAAAGCGTTGGTTTATGGACTTATTGAGTTGTTTTTTGTTTTCTTGGTTAAAACCAGTAAAAACAAACAAACACACAAAAACTAGTTAGTATTCTTTTCTTTCTTTGTACCACATCTGTTGAATTCCTGTTTCCCAAAGATTTTCCTGACAATTTTGGAAAATGTGATGACTCAGGTAAATATTTTCCAAGTGCCTAAGATGTGACAGACAAATATTTTTTATTGTTTTTCATAGTCGTTGAGAAAAAAAGAGTTAAAAAAATTAATGTCATTTGGGTTTATGAAAAGTTCTTAGTAAATAAGTGCCAGAGTAAAACTGGCTGCTTTTCCGTGTGACTTTCCCCTTTAAAATCTGTTCCTTACTGCTCTGAGCTGGATACACCAGTGATCAAATTACATCCCTGAAAGTATAATTTCATACACTGAAAACATGTCATTATACAGTGGGCCGCTTGTCATCACTCTGGCTTGCTTTGCGCAGTTGGTGGGGGTACTCACGGTTCCCCCAAGCAGGCTTGTTCCTGGCCCGACTGCTCAGGCTGATTCCTCCAGCCAGCACACCCTTGCCTCCTTTGTCACCCCTTCTTTCTGGACCAACTCTTGCCATCTTCCAGAACTCAGCTTGGGAAGCACCACCTCTGGGAAGCCTTCACTCTCTCTCCTTTAGGCACTGAGGGTGTGCCTCCAGGGTCATTCACGCCTGCCAGAACATCAGGCCATAGGTTAATTGCCTAACTGCCTCACCCGTCAGATGGTCAGACCCTTGGAAACTGTAACTGGGTCTTGATTGTTTTTGTGCCCCCATTACTTTCATAAATATAATATGACATGTATTTAAGCACTATCTCTAGTTAGAGTTCATGCCACCAGCTGACTGGCTGAGGCTTTCATCCATATCTTCATTATTCATTAAGTATCTGTTGAGGGCTGCCCACAGAGGTTCATGCCTGTAATCCCAGCACTTTGGGAAGCCGAGATGGGGGAATCACTTGAGGTCAGGAGTTCAAGGCCAGCCTGGCCACCAAGGTGAAACCCTGTCTCTACTAAAAATACAAAAATTAGCTGGGCGTGGTGATGGGCACCTGTAATCTCAGCTACTCAGGAGGCTGAGGCAGGAGAATTACTTGAACCCAGGAGGTGGAGGTTGCATTGAGCTGAGATAGCACCACTGTATTACAGCCTGGACAAAACAGCAAGACTCCATTACAAAAATAAAAATAAAATATTTAAAAAGTATCTGTTGAGCTCCTTTATATATAGGTGTGGCAACCAGATATTCAGTTCTTCCCAGGCAGGTTTAATCTTTCCTCACAAGCATCTGTTTACTGATTCACGTTAGACTTTTTCTAGGCATTGGTCTTCTCTTGCTAGAATCCCTATCTTTACATTTTGGGGAAATACAGACAATGCTGACCTCTGCCATTTTCCTTCTTTGTCTTACTACTGGACCTTATGAACCCCTTATTATTGCATTTACATGTATAGCTCTGTCTTTTCTATTAGGCTGTAATAAGCTCCTTGGGGCAGGGAGTGTATCTTATTCCACGCAGCGTCTCCAGGGACTGGTGCAAGGTGGTATTCCATGAGTGCTGATGGAAAGAAATTTGATGTTAGATCATCACAGCTACATGGTTGCTCATGATGGGAACATGCATTTCCTCATTGTCTCCACACCTTTACTTCCTAGTTATCTTTCATCCCTCATTCTGAGCCACTGTGAATTCTTTTTTGGAAAGGAGACATGGGTAAATGTGACACATTTTAAAGTATGTTTTATTCCTCCCAGGTACTATCTTGGTCGTCGGATGTTTATTGTTATTTCCGAGCCGGACATGATCAAGCAGGTGTTAGTCGAGAACTTCAGTAACTTTACCAACAGAATGGTATGTAGTTTTGTTTCTGTGTATAGATGAATGGGAATCGTTCTAAGATGGAGGCACTGCATGTCAGCTTGAGAGGGGATGCAATCGGGCCTCTGATCAGGTTTATGTCAGTTCCACTCAAAACTGAGCTCCTCAGCAAACGCAGTTTTCAAAAGAGATCTATGGGACTGGTAGAAAAGAGTGGCATTTCCATTTAAGGAATGCTTCAAGAAAGCTAAAGCTCAAGGGAAGTTGAAGCTATTAAAGAGCCAGTAAGTCAAAGTGCATGGACCACCAAGCCATATCCAAGCAAGCAGCAAAGGCACCCCCAGGAAGCTGCCACAGCGCTTGAGACTGCCCGAGCCCATGAGACATGAGACAGCACTCGCCAACTGGTGTCTCCATATTTCCTCCCATGCCACCAAGACATGTGACCCTGAGAGCTGACCTGAAAGAGGTTTGGTGTGCTAGGGACAGACATACTTGATGCACATGTTCAAGCAGAGGGGACCAAATCACATTGCCCTCAGCTTTGGTCAATTTCTCCTCCAAGCCATTTGGCTGCCCTTCCTAATTTCTTTCACATCCCCTCACCCACCCCTCCACCCAGACCATGTCCAGGGCCCCAAACTCCAGAGTATGGTTCCAGTTTCCTTCCTCTTCCACTCAGCAAGGGATTAAGGCTTCAGGACTAAGTTCAAGTTCCCCAGACTATATTTAAGGGCCCTTGTGACTTAAATCCATTGTCTATGCTCCACCCGGTCTCTCACCACTCCCCAATTCAAACGGTCATTCTAGCCTCTCCCTGCTCACCCTCACCTGCTCTGGAGAGACCTGACCTCCTCTGCCTTGCTCATGCTGACACTGCCCCAGAATTGAAGGTAGCATAACAGTGGGGCTTATATTTATTATGACATGAGTTTGAGCACATTCTTTTTTTTTTTTGGAGACAGGGTATTGCTCTTCAGGCTGGAGTGCAGCGGTGTGATCGGAGCTCACTGCAGCCTCAAACTCCTGGCCTCAAGTGATCCTCCTGCCTCAGCCTCCTAGGTAGCTGGGACTGCATGTGTGTGCCACCATGCCCAGCTAATTTTTTAAAAACATTTGGCAGAGATGGGGTCTTACTATGTCGTCCAGGTTGGTCTCCAGCTTCTGGCCTCAAGGGATCCTCTCACCTTGGCCTCCCAAGGTGCTGGGATTACAGCCCTGAGCCACTGTACCTGGCCACATTTCTTAACTTAAAAAAGAGCTGGTGCAGCTCTTTTTAAAAATATCATGGAAAGTGGAGCTGAATCAACATGACTCAGCAGAAATGGTCACAGTCAGTGGCAGAACTTCTTATTCTAGGCCTCCTCTCAAGGCCTGGAGTTGGGGGATATGATCCACCTTACTGGACTGTTGCAAAGCCAGATGGGGTCATGCATATAACCTCTCCCTCTACACGGTACTTGGCAGGTGACACACTAGTGCTTTCACAAGAAAACCCTCCACCCCTTCCACACCCATCCAAACTCTTCCTATTCTTCAAGACACTCCTCAGATTCTGCCTCCTCCAGGAAGCCTTTCCTGCCTCCATCCCCATCCACTATTCCCCTGCCCAGAACTCTGACAGCGCTCACCATGTACATCACTCATTGTCACAGTTGATCCCCTTGTGCCTTCCACTGTTTACAGTAAAGAAGGATGTGACTTTCACTCTAGCTTGATTATTAGCTCTTTAAGGCCAAGAACTGTGTCTTGTACTTCTTTTTTATACCCCATGACATAAAAACATATTGACTCTTCAGCATCCAATATATTCTTGTTCCAACTGAATGGAATCTCCATCAACTTGACCTTCTTCCCAGAAGAATGAGGTATTACTTGAATCTGGAGTTGCAATATAGTCTTCTTCCTCTCGGTCATTCACAAACATGTGAAAAGACCCATCGTAGGTGAGATCTCCAGGAAACCCCAGTGTTTATAGTTTTCCATCTGGGAATGTATCCACTTACCTTTAGCTTTGTTTATGGTCTTTAAGCCAATTTCATAGCCATGATAAAACAACCCTTAGTGACTCAATTTTTTAAAAAACAGTCGTTAAAGTGGGATTTTTTCCACAGGTTTTTGAAAGTCAAATTAAATTGGGTTCTGTGGTTCCCTCTTATCCATATGCTTATTTATCTGCTCAAAGAACTCAAGGAGATTAGTGAGACGTGATTTCTCCTTACTGACACCACGCTGCCTTCCCTCTAATAGGCCATGTTTGCTTAAGCAGTCAGCGATTCAGCTTTATTATACATTCACTCGGTAAACATTAAACGCTTACTCCATGCAAGCTGTTACCAAATGGTCCCTTGTGATACAGAAAATACCTCGGCATATTAGTTTGATAAATTAAGTGAAAAGGAACTTAAATAATGCATGCTCTCATTCTCCAACAGGGAGAGCCCATCTCTGCTCACAAATCCGGGCTTCAGTTACGTTGAGTTTTGTCCCTGGACAGGCTGGTGGAGAAGGGCCCTGAGGTGGGAAGCTGGGTTTAGCTCTGAAATTTTACATGAGCTGTAAACGTCTCGGGAGGGATCCATGGAGCGTATTGGCTGGAGGTGGGGGTGACGCGCCAGGGCGCTCCCTGACATACATCCATATCCAATAAACATGTGAATTCAGAAATCATCCTGTGAAATATTCTTTTCCAAACTCCAGAACACTGGCTGGAGCAGACTACGGGTTGGATCCGGAGCGGCAGTTCTTAAGTCATGCTTTCCCGTTCACCTTTTCTGGGGCACTGGAGTCTGTGTGATGCCTCTGCTTCGTCTTGCTCATTTTCCACATGGACCTTGTAGTTCTCTATCAGTGTCCTCAGTGTTTCCTGAAACTGCTCCATGATGGTGCAACCACAGCTTATCATTAAACCCAAATCAATTTTCTTGGCATTTCTAGAAGCTCAGTCATCCCGGTATGTCAGGACTTGGATGTTTTTATTTAGATATTTTCAATGAGCTCTTCTTTGCTGTCAGGTACGGTACCTAATGAAGCTGTGGGGCAGCTCTTTTAAAATATCTGTGGAAAGTGGAGCTGAGTCCACATGACTCAGCAGAAATGGCCACAACCAGAGGCAGAACTTCTTGTTCTTGGCCTCCCATCAAGGCCTGCAGTTCGGGGAGCTGTGGGAAGGGTGATAAGAGGTAGGCCAGTCTTGGCCTGTGTTAGCTTTGTCTGGTCAGATGGGGTCATGACAGGGAGGTGTTGAAACACTAAGCCGACTGCCTTGGAGATGTGGGTTCTGTCTGGAGTGGCAGCGTGGAGTGCCATCCCTCAGGTCCTCATGAGCAACGCAGAGGTTGCCTCTCCAGGCACAGGTTGACCCACACCACTGACACACAAGAGTCACATCCAAAGTCATGTGATGGATGCGGTGGGAGGTTTTATCTAGAACCATTGACACCCAGCGCCCTGGCTGCCCCAGGTTCAGCCTCTCAGGGGCTGCTTCACCCACTCTCCTTCACTGCTTCTACAGCCATGAACATTGCAGAATGAGTCACCGTGAAACCACAAATTCCTTGGCACTGGTGAAGATGACTGAAGTTATAGGCAATTTAGTCACTGGAAACCTTCCTGTCCCCTGTATCTGCAGCAGCCTCTTATTCAGGGAAGTAAAGAGCGTATCAGCTCATTGCAGAGCTAATTGGCAAGGAAAGCTCAATTCAAGGCTACAGGTGGGTCAGAACCCCCCTGTGTGGGGGCCACAGGGACCTGCCTACCGGCATCCATTGAGGAGAGAAGGAGCCTCGGCAGGCTTACCATAAAACCGCACCCCCTTGAACTCATTCCTACACCTGTAGGAATTATTCTCCACTGACAGCTTTTGAAAATTTGTTCACCTGGAGTTCCTGGTTCTCTTTCCCTTAAATCAAACATTGAGTAAATGAAGACACTCAGATTTTCAAACATGTGCAGGAGGATTTAAGTTGTGAGAGTAGTTGTGCATGACCTAGCGAAGCACTCCCAGCTTCAGTCAAACCTTGCCAACTTTTTCTAGCTGCGAATTTCTTGAGAAAGGTCAACTCACATTACAGGTCTACAACTCTGAGCAAGGCAGAAGTTCTTCCTGCAAGCACAGACTGCAGAGAGCAGAAACCAGAAACAGGTGTGCAACCTCATTTGCCTGCCCCCTCTCTATTTTGAGGCATCTTTGTTTTATGTGACCTCTCTCTCCTTCTCTGCCCCAGTCTCCTTCTTCTAACACCCATTTTCTTCTGTTAATTTCCCCCTCTTCTAAGCCAGAGTCCAGCAGTATGGTGAAAGGTCTTTGCTGTGCACAGGAAACCCTCCAGCCTCAACTGGAAGCTTCTTGTTGCAGGATGGGCTGCCCGTTGGAATTCCCAGGTGACAGCCACAATGGGATACTTGTTCCCTGCGGGTCTCCCATTTCACCTGCTTTGCTAATGTCTGGACATCGCCACATCCTGGAAAAGCCAGATCCATGGAATTACTTTTAATCAGTAAAACACTCTGAGCTTCGTTTCCAACATGATAGCTAAGTTTGAATTCTAACGTCTTGAAAAGTACTGAGTGTCTTCTGGTGCCTTGGGAACGCAGGCATAGCATTAAGTGGTATTGATTCTCAATGCTCAAATGTCCTTCTCTCTGCCTTGCAGAGGTTTTTTTTCTAAAATTTCAAGACCTTGTTGAAAATGATTTCATATTTTTGTGTCTTACTAGATAGACTCTTGGTTCAGCAGGAAACTATCTATATTTATTTATTTATTTACAAAAAGAAATTAGTAAAGCTTGCTCTGATATTTATGTCTTCTTGCCCTAACTTTTGTGGCGGCAGAAGTAGAAATAAGTGTGTAAACCAGGAGATTAATATAAAAAATTTAGGCATGAGAATAGACAAATAAACCATAAAGTCAGTTCTTGTCTCTCAATGGATATATTCCAGAATATTCCATGGAAGTCAAGTCACCGAGTCCTGACTCTCCCTTTCTCTGCCTCAATCTCCTTCTAATGACATTCCCTTTCTTCCAATTTTC